ATATAGTGTGTCAAGTGTATCCTGTTTCTATGGCTCTTCCTCGTTTTACCGTCTATTTTAAACAGATAGAACGTCTCCAATCACCAAAATTAATTGATTTTTTTAGTCCTATTCAGATACAAGTTGTAGCAGACGTTCATGAACAACATACACAAGAGCAGTCAAAAAACATGCTATAATGCGAAAAGTATTGAGTAATGCTGAACGCCAAAAAAGATTTCGTGCTAAAAAAGGAGCATTAAGTAATAGATCAACACAAAGTAGCTTTCATCAACTGAACGTCAAAGATTATACAAAGCAAATAAGAAATTACGACAAAAAAATACAGAAACTCAAGACGAAGAGTTTACACAAACCCAAGAAGAGCAATATGTACAACATCTCGTTAAAGAATGTTAAATGTTGCAAATAAAAAAGATATTTTACATTCGAAAGGAAATTAATTTAAATTTTACCTATTTCTGATCCATTTATAAATTATTAGACTAACAAGAATATTAAAATTATAAAATAAAATTATTATTGCCATCATGCGTTAAACAAGTTCAATATTTTATGGTTGCTATTAATTTATGGTTATCACTTCTGTCGAGCGTCCCGTGACGCACACCATTTTTTTTATTAATAATTCGTCTCGAGTATCTATAGTTTATCCATGAAAGACTTCAGGACTCCCCATCCCAGAAAATCCAGATTATTAAAATCCGGACTTCGTGCTGACCATAGTGTGTTTGACTTCCCCGACAAGTCCATCAATTCGGAAAAATAGCATTTAAACAATTCTTCGGGGCCCTAATTGAGTATTGTGCGCCTTTAACGAGTTTAAAATAAACGGCGTTTGAAAAACCCGAATACCCCCGATACTTTCCCCCAAACTGCGATTTTTCAGAAAAATCGGCTTCTTCAGTCTCTAGCTACGTCCATTGATATGTAAGAACCCACATAACCATACCCACTGCTAGATCCTTGTTTAAACTCACCTGTGGGTACCCAGGCTGACCGTTTCCCGAACTCGCATTCACAAATTGGGTTTGCTGGGTATTCGATCCAGGACTGAAATTGCCAGCACTGACTGTCGTGTAGACCGTCTGCTGTTGCGGCTGATTCTGCTGCGATTGCTGTTGGTTGCTCTGCTGGTTGGCCTGTTGGTAGTTTTGGTTGGGTGTTGTCGGGTTCTGGTTCACCACACTGTTCACCTGGACGGCCAACAACATTACAGTTAAGAAATCCGTTATTTGACTAAACATCCAGAAGATCTCACCGAGCTGGGCCTGGATTGGGAGCCCTCATTGGTTGAGGCAGCTGAACCAAACTGGGTGTATTCCTGATACTGACGATTGGAGGTTTGCTGCGCCTGCTGCTGGGAAGGCTGCTGCTGAGCTTGCGTTGCAGGACTTGGGCTTGGAGTGTGAGAGTAATTTGAGTTCGGTCTGGGAGGCACCATTTGAGCTTGTTGACTTGGGACGCTAATAAAGGACCACAATAAATGTTGTAAAAAATGCCACGTTTCCCATTCGTCATTTTTCTATTCGCATTATCTTCAAAGAAATGAAAAGCCTTACCTTGGAGGTCGGGTATTCGTTGGGGTCAACACTTGCACAGCCCCCGTGTAAAATGTGTTGGCTTCAAAAGCGGGCTGTTGGTAAGTCGCCTGATAGATTCCATTGGGGTATTGCTGGTAAGTATCGATCTGCTGAGCGGCTGGAGGAATTTGCTGGATGAATTGGCCCTGCCAGCCAGTAACTAAAAAATATGAAAAACTTGATGTTTTTGCAACAATCTTATTTAACCATGCTGGTACCTTGCGATGGATCCGCTTGCCATACGGGGGTCGGAAAACGGTTGGGGTCAGCGTAGAAAGGCATTGGGGTCTGTTGACAAACGAAAAACTACCTTGAGTATCGGATGGATGCTAAGAACAACAAAATAAGCCAACTCATCAACGAACTAGCGAACATTCGTAGTACGTTTGGCGGGGCAGGAATCGTCCATTCATAAATCACACACCTTACGGTTTGACAAAAACTGATGGTCTCCAGACAAACCACCGGCCCTTTGTCGTAGTTTATTTGGCAACTGGGGTTAAAGTTGAGACAGACAGAATACGATTTCGTTACCCCTGGGGGGAAAAGGCCTCGGACCCGACCTGCCTTAACGGTAGGGTGTTTATATGGCAGACCCTTTATCCCCTTGAAGCTATCAAATGGAGAATCTCCCCCGGCTCAGCTGATGATAACACGGACTTTTATTTTCAAGGTTAATGTTGGGTGCATTTTTCACGAAAAGAAATTTCCCCCCAGTGGAGTTCGGGCTGATATGTTTACTTCGGGAGAGGCGAAGAAGCGAGACGAGCATCACGACGTCGCCCCCACGATTTCCGGGATCTTACCTGATGGGGATTTCATGATTGAGCCGGTGGATGTCTTTTAATGTATAATGTGCCTCAAATATACTTTAGGCCAATGTATTTACATAATGACCGAGTAAAACGATACACCCGACAACCGCGCTAATGGACAAGAAAAATAGGAAGTAAACCACCATTAGGGGTAGTTAAGGGAAATGTATCTTAACAGAAGGGATTCTACAGGAAAGGGTGTTAAAAAAATTGAAAACTTTATCGGGAGTTAAAGTAGTTCTGAGAAATTTCTGATGCTTTTCATTATACGCACGTTCGAAGAAGAGACAATTATTGCAGAAAAGAATTTCACGATGCAAGCTTTAGCAGGCATTTGCTAAATAAAATTAACCAAAGTTACAAATTTCGAAGCTAAATGTGTTTCGATTTTTTTGAAAAAAGTAGATATTTAACAACGATCAAGGAATTAAAACAATATCAACTTGCTCAGTTTAAATCAATGTCTTCCGCTTGGTGGTCTGGAGATTATAAAACGTTACTTTAATGTCTTATAAATGTATGAATTTATTTTATAAAAATATTGACTTCCATGGGGTATCGTGACACACAACAAATTGTTTGTTTCAAGTTTCTTCGGCTTTCCAGGTAAAAAGTACTCAAAATATATCGGCGTTATTATTAGCACAGGCCTAACTAATAAACTAATACAACTAAAGAAAAATCAATATTTTTCACTGTTGAGAACCAATGTAAACATAATATGATTAAATGGGTCAAAAGTGAATGATAGGTTCATAACTGAGCAAAATCTTTCGAGTAATGAAAAATGTTTGTGCCATTGTTGTTAATATTAAATTTATTGCTAAAATATGCACTAGGCAATCTGATTTTAAAACATGAAAATAGGAGGAAACAAATAGTAAATGATAAATACAAAATCCGAACAATTTCTGCAAAATATCAAATAAAAAAAAAATTATGTATAACGGTCTTGTAACAACATTATATATTTTTGGAATTGAAGCAGTTTTTTCAAGGTTTTTGTTGTACTAATTATACCAAACAATAAAAAATATATCTATATAAATCGCCATTCAAAACTGAAGAAATATTTAAAGGAATAAAAGGATATTAACATTTTTGCCATTATTACTATTTAAATTATTATACCATTTTTATATTCACAAGCATGAATTAATGTTACCAAAAAATAACTAAAACAAATTATTTCAATGTAAAGCCTGTTTTGTGGCTTATAAAATCCTCACAAAAAAGAATAATATTTATTAATGTTGAGCGAAATAAGAAGCAGTTGTACTGAAAAAAAGTATTATTTTTCAGATCACTTGCAATTGAATAGTAGAAATTTAAAGAACTTCTTAAAAAGAATGTAACTTATCATTCAACTTTTGAAAATTACGTTTTATACCAACAACAAAATCGATATTCTAAAGTAAATTCGATAAAAAATAAGATAATCTAAATGGAAATATCGGTTTAATGCGCAAATAAATAGTCGAGCTTGGACTACACCAATCGTGTCTCCTTAAGAAGTTCTTATCAAGGAAAACTGGATCGCATCCCCCTTTGAAAATTACGTTTTATGCAATATCGATTTTTTTTAATCAAAAATGCAAACATCGAAATGGAAATAATCTCAATGAAAATTGCAAATCTATATATGCTTATGGTTTAAAATTGTAATCCTCCTTTGTAATATTGAAATTAATTTTAAAAAAATTATTATTTGAATTTTTTAAGCAATTTTTCCCCACTTTATGACGTGAGCTCATTAAAATTCTCAATGGTTGAAGCATTTCTAAAAATAATAATTTATTTCTAGATATTTGAGCTCTACAATTTTTAAATCAAAAAGAGCTTCTCGTGAGCATATTGATCAGATAAAAATATAAACAGAGACAAGGATCAGTTACGCCACCTTATATATTTTAATTCTAGTAGTAAATTCACATAATTTTTCGCAATAATCCTCATAAATTCACAAAAAAATTATATAGATAAAATAAACGAGAATTAATCGCTCCCAACTAGGTAAAACCACCTGCATACACAAATATTAGCGTAAGTTAGTTTAGGTTAATTCAATCAACTACTATACAAACTGCTATAGAAAGTAAGAAAAAATTATAAAAAAACAGACATTTGCTCCGAAATAGTATGCATCTGAAAAATACGTTTGATTGATTAATTTTGTATACTTCGTTCTTTGCCCATGAGCGAAACAATGTATTTTTAAAGAAAAATCCTAGATAATAAGCCATAAATCCTCAAAGATAAATTTGTGTAAAATTATTCTAATTCAACCATTTCTATATGAATGAAACAGTTATCTGTTTGAAAAGCACGTCGACACGATTTGAAATGGCAATATAAAGAGCTAAACTCACGCATAAATAAAGTCGCAACTTTGATTATACCTATTGTTCAAATTTCGTTAAGCTAGGATGAATCTAACGCGAAATTTCGTGAGAATAAATTAGTGATGTGCATTGGCTAGAAATAATCCAGATGAGACAACATCCCTTAAGAGCCGGGAAAATTTGTAATTATAATGGAAAACTCTTGGAAATTCTAAGAAGATATATATTTGCTGCAATGTATTGAAAAAACAAAAAAAAATTATTGAATTGTGTCCCAAAGGTGCAACTTGGGCATTGAAAATGTAGATTTTCTCTGAGTGGCCAATTCTGAAAAGTTGTGCGTTGCATAATCTTCCACCCACTTATAAAGGAAATTAACACATAATCTTACCATGGGTTGCTGCTGGACGGGCATAGGTTGAGTAACGGGTTGTGGGCTGGGCCTAGAAGAAGGTTGTTGGGGTTGAGAAACTGGACCGCCGTTGGTTTCAGCTGCCAGTCCACCTCCTCCTAGTGATGAGATTGGGCCGTTCGGCTTTCGTCCTCTATAACTCTGCAATAGAAAGTAAAAATCAGCTCTTTTCGTCGCAATTTCTTCATACATCTCACCATACTAGTATCTAAACGTTCGTTTTAAAACTAGGAATATTGTATTTGGCTTGCAAGGATAAACAAATACACAGTATTTTAACAACGTGAGAAAGTTCGCCGCTGAACAACTCGGAAAGGTCAAAAAGAGACTGAGGCAGCATCTTGCGGCCCATACTTTCAGGTAGACTAATAAAACAGTCCCGGCCTAAAGGTGCATTGTATTATAAATTGAAGTTACTTAGTCTGGCATTGTTTGTCATCTACCTGGACGAATAGTCCGAAAACCAGCGATTATATAAAGCCTTCTTTATTGTATTAGATTTGCTCTATGATTTTATTGTCAGCGTACAATAGGTTTCAACTTATTTGCACCCATATTTGTATAAGGCGGCATTGGTCGCACAATCTGAAATGGGTGCAATTTATGCCGGTATTGGATCCGGGATTTTGCCTAATATTGTCTACATTTTCAGTACGGATCATTGAAGACATAAAGCAGGAGAAAAAATCCCATTCAAAAAATTCAAGAAAATAAAATATTATTTAATTTAATCGATATTTTTTTACATTTGCAATTGAAAACTGGAACATGAATTACGTTGTACGTAGATTAGCGCGGTTTAAAGTAAACAGTGACACGCTTAAAGATGCAGTAACAAAGAGGTAATTAAAGTTTAAACCGTTCGGATGAAATCAAATATATTGAAAAACAGTCGCTTTAAACCCAGCGCACTTACAATTGCAAATATATTCCGTACAAAAAACTGTTAGAATTAGATACGGGATTCAAAAATTAAATCCTAATAATTTAAAAATATAAAGTTGATGGCCGTAACTTCTTTCTCGGCCACCTAAATGCACGAATTTCTCATCAGAATTATTTTCTCTCATTTCTGGAAAAATTAACCCTTGAATTTAAAATCAATGTATCCTGTATATTTGCCCCATATGGCGTGTAGGTACTTCTTATCAGTGATGTGAATGTCGGAGAAATCCGCAAGTAAATCACAAAAAAACGGGACAAGTGGAGAAACATTCTGATCAAAAGCTGGTTTCGTTCGTTGACCAAAATAGATTGGCAATATTTTTAAAACAACCTCAATATCTTCAAACGATACTAAATTTCCCTGTCTGTACCGTTTGTGGAAAACAGATATTTGGAGAAATAACAAAATCCATAAATTTGTCCTCGTTGGTGACAACTAATACATTTTAAGTGGTTCATTCGGACTTCAATTGCCTTACAAATATGTTTCATCACAACGTTTCGGTTGGTAGTATCTCCAACCATTTTCAGGATAGCGCGCGAAACGTTGTAATGAAACAAATATTGGGGGCGTCAATAAACTACAAAATAATTTCATTGCATAAATCCATATTCTGCTCAATTTGTTACACACATTGTATTTTAATAATTAGCAAACATGAAAATTAGTGTATATTCATTAGTTAATATATTTATTATTTATTAATAACATATTATTTAAAAGTGATAGACAGCGCTGAGTTTGAGCAATTTATTCGGACTTAAAGTATCTCCAAACCGTTTTCAGCGTTCGCCTGAAAATGGTTGAAAATACTACTAACCGAAACGCTGTAATAAAAAAACAAGTTGATTGACTCAAATTGTATACAAATGGAGAGTATCTAAATCCATTGAGTCTACAGTCAGTATTTCATACCTTGACGAGTTGCTCCAATAAGCCACACAAACAATTTAAAAACGAATGAACTAATAGTCACTTATACAATCGCAAAAAGAATACACCGCTTTATTATTTTAATGTTTCTATTTTGCAGGAAGATAGTGATCCTCAACAAGGATGAGTGGCAGTTTTTTGCAATATAAAAATGAAACTAGCACATTTTCTATAAATAATAAGGAAAACGAGGCCACATACACGCCGCTTACACGTTTATCTTTTTCGATTCGAGTCGAAAAAATTACTTAACTTGACCCCCGGCGTGGAACGTTTCAAAAGCTCAGCTTTAAACTTTACATTTTTCCTGCTGCAGCTTAAAGCTGCTAGTCAAATGCAACGTTGGTCGTAGCTAGTATTTGATACGAATGCACGGCGATAATTGCCGAACGCTTTCGTTTTCCTGCTAGAATATCGACTAAGATGCTAATCAACAGTGGTAAACAAAAATAGAAACATTGGGGGTTCATTCATTTATATTTTAAGCAGCTCGTACTATGTCACTTTGCATTGTGGTGTTGATGAGTTCATTTTGCAGGATTGGATTGTGAATACTAAAAATAGACTGATTCCTGCTGGCATCAGATGGGAAATTTGAAAATACTTCGTAAGGCTGGTTGTCTATCTGGTAGAGTCAGTCAGTTTTGCTTAAAATATTGCCTGCTGTGAACTAACAATACCCTGACTTTTTCCTAAAATAAATTTAGGGCAAACTGTGGCAGTAATTTTTTTCAAATTGTAGTTTTAAAATTATTTGTCCTGATTCTCCTGTTGTTCCTTAATATATTCCATCTTTTTATCCCGCACTTGAGTGTAACCATTAGTCTCAACTGTGAATCTCTAAAACAAAAGTGTCGCTATTGGCAAAACAGTGACCTGAAGGTCAAAGGTTCTTAAAAAACCCTCAACATGCCAGTCTAAACATATTCAGGGTAAAATTTTTCAAATTTATATATTCTGGTCAAAAAAGGTATTATTTCACGCAACCGCACACTCAAAATAAAAATAAAAATTCCTAATTCACAGCAATTTGAAATTTTCAGAGCCGATAGAAAACAATGGACCCCAAAAAATAAAAAAAWTTCAGTCAAATTTCGTTAAAGGCTGATTTTGGTCGACRTAACAATCAAACGCAAAAACAAAATTAGGTTTACACGGACTTTTTGAAGAAAAAAAAAARAAGAAAAAATCCTATTTGATATTCTAATACTAGTGGTAACTTCAGATTATCATACCCCATTGAAGACTTTATTGCAAACATCGTCAAAATRCCAGTTTTATGGGAAATATAGAATCATTCTGCCTCTTATGGCAAGTGTAGTAGTTTGTAAMAGTGTAGTGGACTTCTTGAGGACTAACGGGTAGCAAATGGAGGATGGGACGCCAGCTTGCGCAAAGCTGGTAAGAATGATCTCTAATCTATAAATCTTTTAGCTTGAACTGAGCTTAGTTTTGCGACAAGAAACTGCAGTTTATTAAACACATTTTCTTCTTTCCAGGTGGTAATACGCAGTTTCAGTAAGCTGCTCATTGCTTTTCCCCTGATTGCCACCTACATGTAGAACTCTTAGTCCCATATTCATCTCCTGACTCCTAGAGTGAATTTGGTATCGATTGAGCTATTGGTTCATTCGTAGTTAATTTTCAAACTTTGGGATATTTTGRGAGGCTTTGTAKTTTTRSATTAAGCTCATCAGAAGCTTTTTGCTWAAGAACCGCTTCAGATATCAAAATTTGGGTTCCAGTATTCAATACAATTARCATCATCTTGCTGATAGTGTGGATTTGGTTCCAATTAAACCATTGATTCCTTTACAAGAAATTTTTAAACTTTGAGAWTRTTTTGGGCGGCTTTGTATTTTTACATCAAACTCATCTGAAGCTTGTCTCCAAAGAACCGTTTCAGATATGTAAATATGAAGTTAACTTTTATGTTTTCTGTTAAAAAAGTGAAGTTTTAGTTTTGCTTGTTTTTTTTTATTGCAAAAGAAACATTTGAGCCACAGAGTTCATTTTTAAATCATTGGATAGAGAAACAACGTGCGGGAGTAAACTCTAGTGGATTTTTCAGAAAAAGTAGCACAAAATTTGAATATCAGCCATTTAGATGCAAGTTTACGCCAAACTTTTATTTAAAAAAAAGTCATCTACCGAATGGCAATTCAATTTCCCACTGGCTTTAAGTTGCTGGTTGAAATTTTCATTTGAATGAACTTTTGAAGGTTTGAAGGAATTTTGACGATATTTAGAGCGCACTCTTCTTTACTGACCACAGAAATCTGAGCTTGTAGAGAATTTTTCGTGTCTAAGTTTTTCGTTATAACTCTTCTCACTGTGCCGCGCTTTTAATTACGCTTAGCATTTAACCCAAGGGCGGATTAAAGCTTTACGGAGCCCGGGGCAGGAACCGAACAAAGTCAACACATTTTTTAGGAGCAATATTTGACCAAATGGGTGACTGCAACGCACTGCACCGTTGAGTTACTGTGCCAGTGCGTTGGGTTGGCGCAACAAGCCATTTAGGCAGCACTGTGCCAACTACTGAAAATCAACAGTTAAGTCCAAGAATATTTCCAAAAAAAAAATGCCTGAATTTCCTGAAATTAGTCCAAGTTAGAGACTCGCCCTGAAAAGCTTCGAACCCACATAAATGTGAAGTAAAATTCGAAACTCTCCTTTATCTGGAAAAGTGTCTTAAACGTATTCAACCATCGTTTCCTCTTATCGCAACGAAATTATGTAAAGCTACGAAGAGCAAAAACTCACGTTCTTGTGGAAAGTAAACTGGAATTAGCAAGTCGGAGACACTTCACAAAGTGAAGTAGAAAACTAATAACATTCGTTTAACTTCCTTAGCTGATATGTAGAAATTTAACATCGAGATTTAGGAAAAACATATATTTTCTTAACTTTCATAAGTTTTAAAGGTTTAATTTCGTGTCCGGTGTTTTGAAAACTTAAATACAGCAACAGTCCCATACAACAGCAAACAAATGACAAAGGAAATTTTAAAATGTTGCCAAACAAGAACGCAAAGGGTCGAAGATCAGCACAAATCTACGGCAACTTTCTATAAATTCATCAATTTCAACAATAGTTGATTGGAAAAATGCACGAAGAAAAAAAGGGCAAAAAATTATAATTTCTTTACTTTCATAAGTTTAAAAAGGTTTGATTTCGGGCCCGGTGCCTTCAAAAACGAAAGACATCGCAGTCGCATACAACAGGGAAGAAGTAATAGAGAAATGAAAAATGATTCCAAACAATAACGCAAAGCGTTCAAAATGAAGACAAATATATGGCAACTTTCTATAAAATTTTCAATTTAAACAATAGTTTGCCGGAAAAAAGTACATAAAGAGAAAAAGCGCAGTAACAAATAATTTTTCCATAAAACGATCTCAAATTCCGATTGATCCGAACTCTGGACCAGCCTAAAAGTTTCAGATTCAGAAACATGGTAAAATAGCAACAGTTTCCTTGGCAAGTAAATTACTGGATCTGCCTAATGACTGCATTCCAGAAAAATATGGCCGGAGATTTTTCAATTATAAACCGCTAAGAAATAATTAAATTTCAGGGAAATTGAAATGCCCCGGGCGAACTCAACGGGGTGAAAACGTTATTATAAAACTTATCTGCCTATCCGCTCATACCACAGACATAATTTTGTGAAAACTGAACGCGGCAACATGGGAATGTAATTGCAGAATGGGAAATGGTACTGCGCCGGTCCAATTGGGGTACAATCAATAACTTCCAGGGGAGGTTTTGGGGGGTTGAATGCGACGTTGCCGCGCACCGAGCCTGCAAAACGTCACGAACACGAAACCAAAAGAGAGAGTGGTTTGGGGTAGTATCTCCTAATGAATTTTAAAATTTATGGTTGTCGACGAATCTTTGTTCCGGATGGAGTGGGAAGTTTAGTATTGCGCGAACATTAAAACATTAATTTGGGGCTTTGCTTAAGCCAGAAACGTGCACAATATGGACCAAGATAATACAGTCGAAAAACACATATTAACAGAGGAAAACAAAAAGTTAACTGTGTTTAACTGTTCTTCAACCTGAGTTGATCCGTGCAACCCTTGAAAACTTCTTAATTCATAAGCAATAAAATTGAACAATCCTCTCCGGTCTGAATTCAATGGAAAATAAAGGTGAATGAAGCTAGGGATGTGGCAACACGGGGTTGAAATTCAGCTAAAATGCGCATCGCAACGAGGGTTGCTTTCGCTTTTGTTGATAATGCATAACTCTCGTTTTCGCTTACGCATAGCTCTCTAAGGATTAAAATTTAATTCTGAGCCGTTCGACTCGAAAATCTGGGAATCAAATATTTGGAAAAATCTACCAGGAAAACTTATCATCTATTGACGATTTAAAATGAATTTACTTGCTGCCAGTTTCTACCTGACGAAATTCGCTTTGAAACCTGAGAAGTTTGAGGCGCAATTTTTCATTTCAGTTGTGGCTAATAACAAGATTCGTATCAAGTTTCTACCTGCCTTGTATTTGATTTAATTACGTTCGCAAAAGAGGTTTCAAGTTTGCACGTTTCAAGACAAGTGGCTGAAACTGTACAGTCCCGATCTTCAATTATTGGCTTCTGATGCATTTCTCATATAAAAACAAACACTTTTACACTTTCCAAAGGAAAGGGTGCCTTTGCATCTATATAACATACGAGATATCTAGCTTCGTTTCCTCTTCAAAAAATCGGTGCTTTGAACTGAATCCCTATAAGCCCAGTTTCGACATTTTTTCCATATTAGGTTACAGAACAGTTAAGTAGCCCTCACATTTACTAGTTTGGATTATTTGGGTTAGTTAAACCTCATCGTATTTTACGTTTTTTAGACCGAACTGAACCGAAAAAAATTGAGAAGTAGTCAGAAATTTTAACACAAATTTAGCGAGAAACAAAAAATCCAATCTGATTCTTCCAGTCAGATTTCTTAGCGTTGTGAGTTTCTCAAGTTGTTAGGCCGTCATGGATAAGAATTTAATAAAAACGTTTGTAATTCCGTAAAAACTGCGAAAAACTCACCATTTTCAAACAAAGATCACTAAAGGGTGTCCATAAGTCCATTTTCCATATCGAAGGGTGTCTCGATAGAGAAAATACATTTTACGCGGTTGTAAGTTTATTTGTCTCAACATTTTAATCTTCATATGGTTAAGGTGCTAAACGCGCATATTATTAAATTACTCTCAAATTAGAATTATATCATTATTGTTAATAAATGTTAATGCAAATTTGTAGTAACCTACCAAATATGGAGCCATTTCGAAAATTTCAAATATCTCACAAATAATAAAGGATAGATATCGTAAGAATTTAGGCAAAATTAAAAGTATCTTATCTTGAATAAAAAACGCTAACAATATACGAAGTGTGTCAATTAAAATAAGTGGGATTTTTTAGCTTAAAAACACGGTAATTTGGACAATTATTATGACCGCCCTGTATTTTAAAAGACACATAATCCTTTCTCTTATCAAATTTCTAAATTGTGTCTAAAACGCTGGAAAGTGTTCGTGTTGCCAACAGCAAGAAAAAACGAATTTTTGTATAGAAATTGTCAGGCTTTGTGAGTTTTTCAACTTTTTTTCAGCTCACTTTGTTATATTACGCATTACTAGTCACAAATGATAAGAACTAAGCTTTCTCAAAAGTTACTTCAATGATTCGGCAATTTGCTCATATTTAAATACTCTATTTTAAATAATGGCCGAGGTTGATTTTATTAAATCAAGAAACTTTAAATTTATGGCTTCAGCTCCAAAGTACCTACTTTAACTTAATTTTTCATTCGAAGAAACGGATTTTATTTAGATTTCCTTATTTTTTCTATATTGATTTCTTTTGTTCTATATTAATCTAAAAAACTTCATATCATACCTGTTTAGTTTCAATGTCAATTAGTTCTAAATCAAATTGCGACTTCTTGAATTAAATCAATTTTTACTTGATTTTTCAAATTATCCGTTGCAGGTTTGCTGTCTCAGACGCGTTTTATTTAAACGGTAAATATTATTAGGAAGTTTTAAGCAAATACTTTAAATTTACATAAAAATCAATGGGATTAATGTTGTTAGCTGACGTAGTTGATGATTTCGAAACTAATCTGAATGGTGAAATAAATCTAAATAGTCAATTTTTCTGTTTCCATTCGCTAATCTTCTGGGGAAACAAGTGGGAAGTTTTCAAGCCGGACTTTAGCGCAATAATAGCACAAAATAAACGTAAAAAAATGCAGCAGAACTTAAATGAATACGGAATCTGCATTAGGTTTTGGCGAAAAAATTGCTGAAAACCAGATGAATTTTAAATCATCTAAAACAGCAGCAATCAACACCAAAATTTTTTTACTGATTTCAATGCATTCGGTTGTTATCAACTCATCCCACACCACACAATCTAAATACGTAAAACCAAGTGGCAAATTTTTAAAAAGGAAACATACCGATCCACCGCGACCTTTCCCTCTCCCTCTTCGTGACTCTCCCCTCATGTAAGGTTCGCCGTAGAGATTCTAAAACAAAGAAACAAAACAAAAATAAATGGCAAATAAAAGAAAACAAGCAAAGCTATCTGAACTAATCTAGCAAGTTGAAAATGTTGATTAGTATGTAAAAGTGTAAAAATTGTCGTTTGTTTAAACATATAGCAGCTAAGCAACAGAAAATAATTAAAATGTCCCATTTCTTCATCGGTCGCGTAGGTAGGATCTTCTGAAGCGTTTGCTGTCACATTCTTCTTTATCTGTTTTATAGAATGGTAAATTCATGGAAAAAACGATAATAAACATATAAATAAAATGAGTCAACTAAGACGGTAATGGTAAAATAATCACTGGCTAGGGATCTATTGCCTAAAGGTGCGATTCTAGGAACTGGATTTTAGAGGCCGCCAGAGGGTGAAAAAGGCCCTAGAATTATTCAGGATGTAAGGGTCGTTAACCTCAACAGCCTTTTTGAAAGTGGAGAAGAAATCGATAATGGGGCGCATCTTGATTTGATACGTCCAATCTTGCGGGGACTTTTTCCTATAGAGAATGCACAAATTAGTAATAACTGTATACAATTTCAGGGTGTTTGATAAGCAAACAGTACCTTTTTGTTAACTGTGAAAAAATCAGGTTTACTGCACATGGGATTGTAAATATAAGAATCATCAAGGTTTTTTAATGTAAATAATTGGCCACAGCTTTTTATGAAGTATATAGTTGATTTTTTAATCTCAGTCTTATTGCACGTTTTACTGCAGTTGCGCCTTTATGATAAAAAAAACAGATATTATTTCACGTCTTCTTGTTTTCATTGCTTGAACACTCCATTGTATCGGAAATTTAAGGTTTCTTTACATGAATTTCCGGGGTTTCGTCAAATTTGCTTTATTTGGATTTGATGAGAAAAAAATTGTGAAATCGCATTAAAACAATGTAACAAAAGTGGCAAGAAATTTAGTAACAATTATATAAGTAAAACCCGTGCAGTTTCGGGGCAAAAAATGCTGGTTTTGAGAGTGTTATTTTCAGACTAAACCCAGATGATGAGAGGTCGGCTTGAAACCTGGTCTGGAGGTGCCTGATAATAACACATGTCGAGGTCTGTTTCTACTTATTTCACTTTGTTCTTGTAAAATAAGTCATAAACTCTAATCGACTGTAGGTGAATTTTTTATGTGAAAGACTAACAAAGGAACGGGCAAATTCAAGTTGCCAACTAGATTTCTCGCAAATGTAATGATAGTACTTAATACAGCAAATCAGCAGAAAAATCCAAAAAATCGCACTAGACTTTAACGATTTCAAATTTAAAGTATCAGTCAAAAGGAACATTTCACTACTTAATGCACATAAGAAATTATACAACAATTGAAAATTTGAAAAATTGCTCAAGAGGAAAAACGGATAGTTCCTTGTTAACTCAACAGCAATATGTGGCCTATTTGGTTCTATTCGGGCACATCACCCTAATCATATAGAGTTTGGTCGATATTGCACCGAAACTAATTATAAATAGGCCAGGCACAAATTTCATTAAGAACCTGAGCTGTGTGAATTTATACCATATTGGGCGCAAGAGGCCAAAAAGCGTCTGGCTGGTTCACGTATCCGGTAGGCAACGAAACCAGGTGCGTGTTCTCGTTTTTTCCTCGGGTTCTAAACTTTATTGACATTTCGTACGGGAATTCTAATATTTGTTCGGTTCTAAGTTCATTTCCACCATAAAGGTGTGTTTCGATTGTTTGTTTCATCAGGAAGTATCAAGTTGCGTTTTTGTCTCTCACTTCGCTACAGCTGGTCATTCTCGTGCAATGTGTTGAATTTTTCGGTTCTTGCATCAGCAGTTAAACCACAGGAATCAGACACGCGAATATTAATAATAGGGTGAATTAGTAAGAATAATTAACGATTCGTGTGCAATTGCAAACTACAAGCCAGAAGAAATTCATCTTCACCGCCACTGTTTAGCGATCCACAAGGTAGTTTAGTCTAGAATGGTCCAATTTTATACAGTTTATATGCAGCCCTCATTATTTATAGCCGCACACCATTTGGACAACCCTGACGGAGAACACGTGGTTCATATATCGTTGACAGCTGCTGGAACTCCACCCACCATTCGATTTCTCTGGTACGCTCCGTTATATTTAATACGGTGTTGAGGTTTTTGTTCATGCAATTTCACTACTTCGTAGCCCCTTTGTTATCAAACATGTTAGTTACCTTAATTAGAACTGTTTTTTTGCTTTTCTTTTCGGTGATACGGGCAGCTGTCGCTCTATTATACAGTGATTCCACATTTCCCGTAAAAATTGTATTTTGTGTATATCCTTGTCTTGAATTTGATGCTTTCTTTGATTATTGTCGTAAATTGACGCGCATTGTCTAACTTAAAAGTTAAATACAAATTTTTTTGTATTTAAAAATGAGAAACTATGAAAAAACGGATTTTTGTACCAACAACTTTTGTTTTCAAACAGTTAATACATTAAGTTCAATAGTCAACCATTAAATTCAATAGTAGCAATTGCTTTGTCTTCATTTCGAAGAATGGACATTCAAGTTGCAAATATCATTTTTCATTAAACAAGTTTACCGGGTGTTTCCAAATTACAGTCAATTATTTTTGAGTTTGCAGGGGCTCACTTGAAGTAGGGAAAAATTTGCGTGTACTTCTAGCAGTTATTAACTCTTGAAGATGCACTTTCAACATATTCTCCCTAAGAAAAATTGCATCGGCAGCTATTCGTCCATGTAAACATTTGCTAATAAACCAGTCAGCTTATTTAAGGCCAGATTTTATATTGTACTGTTCAAAATTTAACATGTATAACAAATAACAACGTCGAACATGAATAAAGTTTATCGTTCTCGAGGAGGCAAATCGGTCCAATCTTTAACTGAATTAATTCCTCTGAAAAAATTAGAGTTTTTAAAGGAAGTCGAGTTCGTCGCAATTCAATTGAACAGCTGACTAGTGAAGTCGGAACGAAAGCAGCACGCATCGAACGTGTAAGACCGTATTAAGTTTAATGGAAACAAGCACCAGAACCAGCCATAAACAAAATAGATAAAGATTTCTTAACTTTTTTGAACTTTTTCCTTAAAAAAATCCTTTGACATTAAGCTGTAATATGAGACCCAAACAATCTTAAAAACAAGGAAAACTGATGTTGTGAAGTAAGGTTACGAAGCGAAGTTGAGCAGTTTGATGATCAATTGTGCATTGTGAAAACTGAAATATAAATTTGGAAGCATTGATTTATTCGCAAGTGATTCTTGAAATTCATTACATTTTTCAGAAAAATGGTTCCATTTTTCAGAAAAATTATGGATAACTCAACACAATTTTCCGCTATTTTTTCTGTAGTTCCTAAATAGCCATCCTGCATGTATTCCATTTTCAATGAAAAAAAATTAATAAAAAAATCCGTAGTAATAACAGAAAAAAAGTTGCAACCAGATGCAAAAAGGCGTCATTTCAATTATGAAAATGATCAAAAACATACAAACTAGTAATCAAACATATTTTAATTTCAAACCGTCTTAATAAATATCCCAAGAATTGAATACTCGAAGAACATCGAAAATACATCAAAAAACCGAAACACAGAACTGAGGTTTAACCGGTAAATAAGTTTTGAGGAAACATTAAAATTTATTTTTGATTTGCTAAAATTTGTATTTAAATGACTTGCCTTCTTTTGGAATAAAGATCTACATATTTAAAACATGTTTTCTTCAATGTGTATGGTTGCCTCTATTACTTAGAGAGTTGAAGGATGAAAAAACAAAAACTGAAGACAAAATCGAAAAATTGTCCTGAGTAAATACAAATAAAACAAGTAAAAAATAGTATCAGAATCACCTAAGAGAATTATACTATTTAAACACAGCTTACTCTCCAATGTTGAGACATTTTTACACTCTTTCAGAAATAATATGTAACATTTTCTTCATTTTGACCAATAAACCTTCGCTGTTCTATTTTCGCCCATAGAAACAGAGTTTGGCTCTGTTATTTAGAGAATTTCAAGCAGTAAACTTCAATTACAAAAAACCGATAAAAGTGAAAAACGCAAACAAAAAATGTACAGTCAGGAAAATACACACAAAAATCTAAACAATTTGGATGAGAAATTGAGTTTGAAACCAGTAGCAGTGACCATTCCGAGGCGCCAAACTGCTGAAGGAACAATTAAAATGATTGCTTTCAGGCATAAATGAGGGTGAAAGTTCTGATCTGAACACCTCGACTGGGCACCATTTTAACAAACAAGGCGTCATTACCTGGGCCAATGTAAACCCGGAAGCGTCCCTTGATCGAGACCGTTTTCACCCCCGCAAACATAAATCTCTGCATCAAAACACGTCTCGATAGTCACTTTTGCGGTTCCGCAAAAAAAGACACGGAAGCTTCTCCTCTTTGGACCCGGCCGCACTCCGAGCAGCGAGGGTGGATCCGATTCAGAAAAAAAACTTTTTTAAAGGGGAAATATGGCCTTATTTCGTGTGTAATCGTTCGAAAAACTGCTCTCTTTCACCGACGAGATAAATGACGACGCTCGGAAAATGTCGAATTAATTCGTCAAATATGGACAAGGCGGTTGTGTGTTTATACAAAACACCCCGTGGCAGGTTCATAAGATAAAACAAAATGATATCCGGGGGTTTGTTGTGACGGGCCCCAAAAAGGGGCAACAAACCTAAGAATAACCACCATTGTGCACGTCACGAACCGACCCAAACAAGGGCGACCTTCGAACGGACGTTACCACCCCCGGCTTGCGTGAATCCTTTCGCTTTGAGGGCGAGTTTGTTACAATCGGGTAATATCCTCCAGCTAAGCTGTCATAAGCTTTTTGGGTCGCTGACCACTCGATTGGCCCCCGTATTGAATCAGTAGGCCAGACCGTATTCGGACGACAACCTTGGCTCTTTAAAGTTTTAGCCATCTTCCATGAAAATTGATCACAATTTAATGGAAATGATTTGTAGGAGGAAACCCTCTTAAACTACATAGA